TGGCAGCTCTGTTTTGAACCATCTGGAGTATCTGGACTGTCTTCAAGGGCAGCCCCATGTAAAGCGCATTACAGAAATCCAACCGGGAAGTAACCAATGCATGTGTTACAGGCGCTAGGCAATCCTCCTCCAGGTAGGGACGCAGCTGATGGATTAACCGAAGCTGAAGGAAAGCGCTCCTCGCCACCGCAGTCACTTGGGCTTCCAAGGACAGTTCCGGGTTGAGGAGCACTCCCAAGCTGCGGACCCTGTCCTTTGCAGGGAGTGCAACCCCGTCCAGGGCAGGGCCCAAGTCACCTACCCAGGAGCTCGATTCACCCACCAACAGAAACTCCATCTTACCTGGATTGTACTTCAGTTCAATATATGAACATTCCCCCACTGTAACATTTCAGGGTGATCAACACAAACCCAATCACGAGTCCATCTTCCAAATCCGTGTGTCTAGTGTTGTGTCCAGTATAGTGACTGAGGAAGCCTATGCTAGGACTTGTCCTTCATATCCTTATAACTCGGTACTTGTCCAAGTTGAGACAGCATAGTCGTGAACCACTCTCCCACACCAGGGTTGATGGTGCTGCGGCTGATGGAGCAGCTCCTCATTTTTCATTGATCTGCTGCTTCTGAATATATAGTGCATCATGTGACCTCCTTATTTGCCTTGGTTTTATGGATCAGCAGCCAAACTGGCAGAGAAGAGAGGCTGATCTGCATTTGTCTTATCCTCATTAGTTTTAGGAAGCTTAGGTAGGTTCACTCTGACCACCCGTCCTTTACTGCTATGAAACCCCCAAAGCCAACTATCCTGTAGTGTGCCTATCCATCTACCACTCTGTTACATACTCTCAGATCTGTCTTTTCATTGCTTCTTCAGTCTTATTCCTCTGCCTAATAAAAACCTCTGTGTCTCCTCTCTGAATTTACTCAGATGAACTGAAAAGTAGGTTTCTGTGAGCGTTTTGTTTTAACCTTAGGTAATGTACTGCAGTAATGCTTAATGAAAATCAAAATGCCTAATGTCTGTCTATATTTGTATTCTATATTATGTTACTATTTTAGTTTGCAAATTCTGTTACTGGCTGAAGTATATGCAGACAATACAGATGTCCAGAGTATACAACAGCTAGAAAACTAGTAATAACATCTTAAGCATTGCAAAATGGTGGTGAGTTCCCAGCAGACCCATTTCAATGTTCCTACTCGCCCTCTTGTAATCGAAGCAGTGTGTGCGTTCCTTCACGTTAGGGTTGCTCTGTTGCCCATGAGTTGCTGTCCAGCATCTTCAGCAAAATGCAGTTTGTATACATTGCAAAACATGTATGCCTAATCTGAAAGCACAGCTTTATGCACTACAATAAAGCCAGAGTTTTTCCTAAATGTTAATAGTCTGAGAGGCCCTGGAAGACTCAGAGTCCAATGCATGCTAATGCTAAATGTTAATGGTTTGTTTTTTAATGCTTCTAGCTTCAGGCTAGTGCTGCGATGCAAGATCAGCTAACTCCCAGGAGCAATTAAACTGAGGCAGAACCCCACATAATGTATGTACTTTGTTTTAGCAAGACATTATCAAATCATCAAGGGGCTACAATGAACTGCAAATCTTACCCATGTCTCATAATATTGCTTATATGACAACTTCAGAGGTAAGTCAGAGTCCACGATTCTCTGTTTTTCCATGACACTAGATTGCTCTCCCAGTATAACAGGATTAGGCAACTTGCTGAGATCGGGAGAGATGTGTCAAACAAAGGATTCACTTGCAGAGTAACATACTGCATGACCCATGAGCCTACTGGACATACTCTGCAAGGAACTATTTCTGAGTAAGCGATGCTGAACCCAGCAGGACCAACTGCGCTTGGACCACCTCCGTGCTTTCTTTGCTTTTTCTACATATACATCCAGGGCCAGAAGAGCGCCAGTTGAATTCTGCCTGGCACTGTTTCGCAAATCTGGGCATTGGATCTTCAAATGCCCCAGTCTGCATTATTTCCAGGCATTGCACAGCATAAGAGCTGACCGGATCAGATTGGCATGGGCATTGCATTAACAGGATTGGTACAGTCAGAGTACACTTTCAGGCAGTTTGTACAGAAAAGAAAGAAATAAACCATGTTAAACAAAAACTGCATTTTATTCCAGACTAGTCCATTAAGACAGGAAGATGGCACCGAAGAAAGTGGGTTGAGGGTGACAGCTGTAATGTCAATAGGAAGCCAGCAATCACGCCACTCTAAGAAACAAAGGCTGCTCATCCATCCGCCTCCCTTTTCAGTGCTGTTTAGAAGAGCCTTATGCTGCACAGTCCTATGTACGTTCACTCAGAAGTAAATCCCATTGTATTCACATGTGCACATGTGTTTCGGATTTAAAATTAAAGGCATGACCAGCGTGCTATGCGGTACAATTTCAGTCAGTGGTATATTTGCAGAGAGATGGCAATAGTCTACTGTTTGTTTATGCTGTTTATAATTGTACAGTTTCCAAGTTCCAGGGTCTTACAGATTGTTTTTTTAAATCAGTCATTAAAAAGTGAAAGAAGCTGCCCTAAAGGCATCCAGACATAAATGCATTTGAAAAATATCAGAAACAGTGGGTTAGATCCAATGTTAGCCCTTCTCATAGGAAATTCATTGAAATGAATAGGATTTTGGTTAGAGTAAGACTGGATACAAGCTGTTGGTTTTAGAATTTTGTAACTTCATCTGTATATAGCACTAGCAATTTTTTTGATCAAACGGTACCTTTAAAGGCTGTCTTGTGCCCTCTGTTATATCCTTCTTTAAGCAGAACTATCAATTAAAATAGATTTTAATTTTTGATTCATTTCATCAGAAATCTATTGGTAAGAGGAGCAGAACTTACTGTGGTATCATTATATTAGAATTGACTCACTTGGAATTGTGCATTTTTCTAAAATCTGTTCTTATAATCAGATAGAAAAGGACTCCAGTGTTAACATCAACAGTAATACAACAGAAGGAACTATCACATGAAACCAAAAACATGTCCTTAATTATTATTTTCTATATGTAAGTCAATGTCTTTTCTGTTTCATCCCTCACCACTAAACTCAAAAGTCTATAATAAAATGTTCAGAGTAAAGTAATCATCACTTGCTGAAATCCTGTACATGCCTCTCTAGGAGTTAAGTCCCCTTGAACTTGCTAGGACTTAATTCTGAGTAGACCTGACTAGGATTCCACTAGAATTGTAATCCTAAGCACACATAATACTGCATAAACTCTATTTAGTCTAGTGGGGCTTAATCCCAGTAAGTTCAGGATTGTGTTGCATGGCCACAGTCCTACGCATACTTACTTGGATGCCAGGCCCATCCAAATCAGCAGCACTTACTTCTGACTAAACATGAATATAACTGGATGACAAACTCTTAATAGCCATTAAGTGGTAGTAGCTCTTCAAATAACGCAGCAATTCTGGTGATCAATACAGGAACTACGATTCAAATGAATAGGTACCTTCTTAGCTTGTTGGAGTCACTGTAATGACAAAGCTCACAAGCAGCAGAGCCTAGTTACCTATTTATCACACTGGGCAAAGTGAAATTGAATTCCAAAGGTGCCATTCGGGAAAAGTTAAGCACTGATTTCAGTGAAAATTTCAACATGTGCATGAAATCATGGCAACAAGCAGTTCAATCTTATGCACATGTTCTTAGAAGCCAGCGCTGCTTTGTTAGTTTGCTGCAGCCCAATATCCCAAGAGTGTGCATAGGTATACACGCAATAGCACTTAACAAAAGTTTATGTATTTCATAAAGTGGTGCATCTTTAGTTGACAGAACTTACATAAGAACATGAGAAGAGGCACACTGGATCAAATCTAGTCCAGTGTTCTGTTCATAAAGTGGTCGACCAGCTGCCCATGGGAAGTTCACAGGCAGGATATGAGAGTCACTGCACCATTTCATCCATATTCCCCAAGAACTGGTGCACATAAGCATACTGCCAACAGGTCTAGTAGCCATTGATGGCCTTATCCTCCATGTATTTGTCCAATCCCCTTTTCAAGCCATCTAAATCTGTGGCCATCACTTCTTCCTGTGGCAGTGAATTACACAGTTTAATTTATGGGCTGTGTGAAGAATACTTTCTTTTGTCTGTCCTGAATCTTCTATCAATCAGCCTCATGGGATGACTCTGGGTTCCAGCAGAGATCTGGAAGGAGTAAACTGTCTCCCACTCCATTTTTTCATTTTCTAAACTAAATATTCCAAATAATTCCAAATATTCCAGCAACCTTTCCTTATAAAGGAGTCGCTGTAGCAACTTGATCATTTTAAGTTGCTCTTTTCTATGCAAATGTGATTGTACCACTGCCTTGTATAAGGGCTGTAGGATATTGGCCGTTTCATTTTCCTTTCCTTTCCTTTCCTTTCCTAATTATGCCTAACATGGGGCTTGCCTTTTCACAGCAGCCACATACTGGGTTGATATTTTCATCGAGCTTTCTGCAATAACCTCAACAGACCTGTCCAGCTCGGATCCCATCGGTTTATACTTGAAGCTGGGATTGATTTTTGGCTCAACGTACCTGCTTGCTTTTATTCAACAGTTTCCCCTGAGTGACAGAAGGTATCCAATGTTAGTCCTATCTAGAACAGTCCCAACGAAATGAACAGGGCTTTAGTTAGACTGCCACCAGACACTACGAAACAGATGCAACCAAAGTTTCCCCTCGCCTGCGTTACAAACACGCGCACACGCGAGCGCCAGATCAAGATCCGCCGTCCCTCGCGGCGATCGCACATCAGATGCGAAACGAAGCGCTTGGCGCATGCGGCGCTGTCCTGTCTGTGGGACCTGAAACGACCTTTTTTCTGAGCTGCCGCGGAGCAGTCCTCCAGCCCGACAGGATCGGAAGCCTCGGCTGGCCGTCCTGCGCACATGTCCACCCCTCCTCCGCCCCCCGCCGGTCCGATCGCCGCCGGCCCCGTTCCCCCTCGGCCCTCCGCCTCGCCCCCGGCCCCTCCCAGGTCACTTGGCGAACTGCGCCTGCACGGCGGCGAAACCGAGGCCGGAGGGAACCAAGTGCGGGAGCTTGCAGATGGCGCACGCGCACAGGCTGGTCCCGCCGGGCGGCAGGGCCCCAGGGCCGCAGGGCTGCTCCTCCAGGGCCGCCGAGAGGTATTTGCCGGCGCCTGCCCGTAGGGTGTCCTGCGGGTGGTGGTGGTGATGGTGGTGGTGGTGGCTGACGTTTCCCGCCGGCGTCAGGAGCACCGGGGCCGGGCCCGCGGCGAAGAGGGGCAGCCCGGCCAGCAGCAGCCGGGGTCCGCCGGAGCCGCTCATTTCCCCGATGATCCGCCGCAGCTCTTGCAACGAGCTTCCCAACAAGAGGATGTAATTCCTGGCCAAGAGCAGCGTGGCGATTTTCGAGAGCTTCCGCCCAGGGGAGCTTTGGCAGTGCGCCGCCGAGTAGGGCAGGATCACCTCCCGCAGAGCGTCCATCGCCAGGTTGAGATCTTGCATCCGCTTCCTCTCTCTGCTGTTGATCTTCTTCCGCAGGAGCTGCTGCTCGCTCTTCGGATCGCTCGTGGTGGTGGCGGGGTGGCCACCCGCCTTGCTGGCCCCGGGCCTGTGCGGCTGCTCCGGAGCAAACTCCTGCCTGTCATGAGTTTGCTTGGGAAGTAAGGCGGAGGGGGGCTGCCTATAGCCCACCAGCTCATACAACGGAGGCTGCCTCATCATCTCGCTGGGCTTTCAGATCAGGAAAAAAACTGCCATAACACAGGAAAGGACGCAAGAACTGAAAGGCTGCAGGAATCGGGCTGGGCGGCTTTGCAAGCAAGGAGAAAGTATGATGCAGAGGATATTTTTTTAAAGAGCGGTCCACGAACGTCGCGTTTGCTAAAAGCGCCCAGGTGGAAGGGGAAGGGGGAGGGGTTTTAAAAATCAACAAACAAACACCCACGCTCCCGTAATTTGCCGTGAGATAGGAAGAAATGGGTATTAACTTAGCTGAACTCCTTTAAATCCAGCCTCGTACTCGAGCAAAGGAATGGCAGGCGGCAGCCAATGGCAGTGCAGACCGAGCTCGGGAGAGGCGCTCATTGGCTGCCTCGCAACTGTATGGGAAATGTTGCGATGAGTAAACAAGAAGTTTATTGTTGAGTCTTCGGCTCTTCCACTCCGAGTCGCCGCCGTTGCGAATCCCGCAAGAGCTTGTGTCCCTTGCATCCTCCTGGGGAACACACGCACATTCCCTTTGAAAACATATTACTGGCCTTTTCTGCTCCTGCATTTTGATTGCTGATAGAAATATGAATGCTTCCGCTCTCCATAAAAAATCTAGTAAATGCACTACCTCTCCTTTACAGATCACAAAGTGATGTGTGATTTCTTTGTCTTGGTATAGCTTAAATCCCTTAAAGAATAACTGCACCCCCTCATATCTTATTTTAAAAAGATATTAAAAATGGAGAGAGCTAAGATAATGTGAAACACTGGGAGTTTAAAGGGTGCATGGAGGCATCCATGCTTATGTTTACATATATCTGGCTTTGAAATATTCACTGTGATTTATCTTCACCTTCTCTGAAGGTGTTTCATTTAGAGTCTTGGCCTAGATAGAACAAAATGACTTATTTGTGAAGATTTCATTAAACATTTTCTCTTTTAAAAAAAAGTTATTTCAACCTGATTTTATTGTATCCTGTAATCCTTCCAGGGAGCCTTCCAAGCTAATGGGGCAGGGTATAAACCCAGTAAATAAATATTTATGTGTGGCAGGGGTGGGAAAATGTTTGGTCCTCTAGATTTGCTGGACTGCAACTCCCACCATTCTTCATCATGCTACTGATGGGAAATACAGTCCAAGAACAGCTGAGGGCCACTTGTACCGCAGCCTTGATGAATAGTGTTGGTAAGTGCAGAAAGAGTTGAATCTGCAAATCTCATCTGCAGAAATGTCATTGCCTAAGAACATAAGATCCTGGGATTAAGCCAGGAGAACAGAGTTTTGAATAAGGCCTGTTTCCACATGGCAAGGGTTAGACACTCCATGTGGTTATAGCAGTGCATTCTTCCCCATTCTGGTGGCCAAAAGATGTGTTGGATGGTTGTCTGGGGGAACAGTAGGTGTTTTTGATGGCTGGCATAACTGGCTTAGGTATACTGGGAGTTACACTCCAACACATCTGGCTGGCATTAGGTTGGGGAATAACGTCTTTGTGCATAAGATTTATATAGAATAGCTATACCAAAAACAACAACAAAAAAACAAACTTTATATACCCATATGGGACTCCTTTATAGAGGTGGAGGGGATGCAGGTGGCACAGTGGTTTAAACTGCTGTGCTGCTGGGCTGGTTGATTGAAAGATCGCCGGTTCGAATCTGCACAGCAGGGTGAGTTCCCATTGCTCTGTTCCAGCTCCTGCCACCCTTGCAGTTCAAAAGCATGCAAATGCAAGTAGATAAAAAGGTACCACTTCAGTGGGAAGGTAACAGTGTTCCATGCATTTCGGTGTTTAGTCATGCCGGCCACATGACCATGGAGACTGTCTGAGGACAAACGCTGGCTCCCTCGGCTGGGAAACGGAGATGAGCACCACCCCCTAGAGTTAGGCATGACTGGACTTAACATCAAGGGGAAACTTTCACCTTTAACCTTATAGAGGTGGAGAGGTATCAAAGTCAGAGGTACAAAGTGCGGGGTCTTGCAGCTGTCACATGGGTTACCAAGATAGGTGAGAAGTAGGTTGGTCGTCCTTGCAGGTGTTATGCTTTTGTAGGATCTGTCTGCTGTTCTCCCCTGTGTCTGCCCAAAGAGTGCAAACCACCTGGAAATCACAGGGTCTGAACCTCTTCCTTCAGTGAGGAGCCTTCTGAGTCCAGTTAGTTCACTGAGTTAAACCATGTGGCTTGTCTTGCTGCACTCTTGTGATATGGTGAAGGAAAACAGCTGCAGAATTTGGGTGGCTCTGGAAGAGATGATGTAATAGCACAGAAGTAGTGACTTAGTGATGGGAAGAAAGAAATGCATCCAGTTTTGTGCATTTGAACAAGGGGTGAACCCACGCTCAGTGACCCTTTAAAATTTGCCCTTCTCTGAATTTTGCAGTGGAGTTTGTCAGTTAAAATATTCATATGGAAGTGCTTATGTTAGGAAACAGAATGTTAAAGATGAGTTGTTTTAAGGATTGCTTGCAAAAGAGAGTGGAGGGAGAGAGAGATTAGGCAAATATGTACACAGAAATGCATGCATTCAGAGAAATCTGCAGAAAGGTGGTTATGATTTTCATGTAGCCTTTTAATATTTTAACTTTGTGACGACCCAAAATTAAGACTGGATAATTTGGAAAGTTTGAAACTAACAAAAAGATTTGGAACCTGAAAGAAACTGAAATTAACAGATTTGCCCACCTGTCGTCATAGTGCTGGCAGCAATAGTAGTGATCATAGTGATATAGTGAGAAAAGCAATTGTGAACTAATACAGAGTAGTTCTCTCTTAACTCTTTCAATGGGGAAAGAACTCCAAAGTTATAGGCCATGATTTCCAGGTACAGTTGAACCCAGTAATCCCCCAGTTAAGCCCTTCCTGAGAGGAAGACATGGAAAGAGAAACTCCAGAATGCACAAGATTAAGACTGTGCAGTATAGCTGTTAGAGTGTTGGACTAGGATTGGGAACTTGGTTCAAATCCCCACTCAGTCATGCCATTCACAGGGTGACCTTTGACCAGTTATTTTCCCTCAGCTTAATCTACCCCCAAGTTTTGTTTTGTTTTTTTTTTTTGTAAAGGTACCATCTGTGTGTGGGGGTGGGGAAAGAATTCATGTATGCTGGTTGAGCTCAATGAAGGAAAGCTAAAATATGAATATAGCAAATGAATGAAAAGAACCTTCCTCTCAGTGACATGATAAAGCTCCATGACTCCATTTCTGTCCCCAGTGTGGGCCCTGAAAAATCCTGCTGGCTTCTTTTGCCAGTGTTGGCACATAATCTTTGTAATAAAGGCTTAGTGCTTTCAACAATAGCTTGTTGTTGTTTTGCAAACACAACACTCCTATTTTGCTTTAAACTGCACGGTACAATTAGATTGCCAAGTTCTAAATGTCCATGAGAGCACAGTTTTCAAGCTATGAATGGGAAAAAATATTGTTCTGATCACTTTAAACAAAGAGCATTAGAATATATTTCCTGAAAACAATTAACATTTTAAAAATACAATTATCATTGCAAATGTGGACTGGTGGCTTAAATAGTTAAATATAAGGAAAAGCGAAGTAGTGAAGCATGACAGATTTTCTGGATTATAAAAATGCTTTGATCTATCAATTCCCTGGAAGAACCTACTTTCTTCTTCAAATGAGAGGAAAATAGCAGTGCACTTTTGTTGATCTGCGGATGAGGGGAGGAGAGATGGCAGTGGAAAAGATGCCTGTTTCCTTTCTCTTTATAAATGGGTTTCAAATAAACAATCAAATGTTCACTTTAAACTTCAGAATAGGTTTGAAAGTGTACTTCTGTATAAAAACAGCAAGCTGCCTTCAAACAGTGTGATCCAGTGTGCTGTGAAATTGCACACATAGGTCTATAAAACTGATGTCAAAGAGCTGGCTTTCTTTGCACGTCCAGAAATATTCTTTGAGGCTTCTAAAGTTGGTTGTTTCAAGCCAAACACTGTAGAGGCTTTCCCTGCAGCAATAAAAGGGACAGTTTGCTTGGACGGCTGTGGCTGATTTATAGCACAGTGCCCAATGTCATGGTCAGAGGATTTTTGTTGTTGTTTTGTATGTGTGGTTTGTTTTATTTAGAGGTGTTTTTCCCCCCAACAAAACGCTGGCAGTTTAACTCGAAGTCTCAGTCAGCCTCAAAAGATGCAAGTGTTTCTGTCCATTTCAGGCTTTGCTTATGGGATGTTCCAAATGGTTAAAACAAACCCTTTCAGAAGTGACACATGGCCAAGTGTGTTCAAAGAAATGAAGGGGGGAAAACAAAGGTAGCTCTGAAGTCATTTCCCCACACTGGATCCAGCCATCCGGTTTTACTCTTTCTTCATTGAATGGGCAGAATGCAACAGGAAGAACAGGACTGAAAGAGAACAAACATGCCAAATGTACTGGCAGAGAGACCTGAGAGAGAAGGCTGGGGCAGCTTGAGGCGAAAGTTCCATTCTTCGCCCTTGGAAGGGAATGAATGATAAATTATAGCATCTAAAAAGGTAATAAATGTGTCTAGCTGAAGTGCCATGGCCAAGTTCCTAGGACACCTGCAAAGACAGGAGGGGCTTTATAGGTCCAGGCAGCTCTCCCTTTATGGGAAGCAGACGGCGTAGAGTGGATACAGAGGGACACTGTTCCTGATTTTGCCTCATTCCTCTGCTGTTGGCTCAAAGTCCTTATCAATTTATGCAACAGCCACGCTGCTCTCCTGCATAAAATGCCATTTAATTAGCATGTGTGTGAGAGAAGATGGCTTTTTTGAAAAAAAGAACAAGGCCTCAAGAATTCAATTTATCCCAGGCTATGCAGCTACGACCAACGATCCCCCAAAAGCAGTATTTTAGGGGCTACATTACTTAGCTTTTAGGGAGCGCTAGATGAGGCCTAGCCGTGGACACCCCACCCTACCTTGTACCTGGACATGCCAGCTTCCCGCACACAAGAGCGCGGCTGCCTCGAGCTGAACTGAAGCATTGCCACAAGGGCAGGGGGCAGCGGGCTGCTTGGCATGTCATGC